TTTTGTCCATAAGCGAATCAAATAAATTCAAAATATAATTTAGTTTATTCATTTCAATTTTAATTTAATTAAAATATAAAATTGATAATAAATTTAAAGGAAGAGTTCACTATAACTATTGAATAAATGGAACTACTAGAAAAATCCAAACAAATTCACAATAAAAACAAACACACACACATGATGAATACCGTCCTTTAATATACTGAGTCAGATCAAACAAATAGGCTCGATTCGATTTGATTTTCTTATTTTTAACCAGTTAATACAGAACCCTAATGGGACCTAAACTCGAAGGAGAGGCTCAAAAACATTTGAGATTTGATAAGTATCTGATATTTTTTTAGTCAAAACTCATAAAGCGGTTTACACGTTAATATAAAAAGAAATTATCAGTCCTTAATGGGATCAGAAGCTCACTACTGTTGAGAAAGAAAGTTAAATATATCTCAAACTCTAATTTTGAGAGACTTAAGCAAAAATAAGGCTGAAGTAAGTATTTTAAGGAAAAATAATTATCAAATAAATCACAAAAGGCCATATTAAAATGGGAATATTAGAAATGAGTCAAATAAAAGGGAAAAAAAAAAAGGAAATGCTAAGAGATAGCGTATGTCATATTCTATTCAGTGGCATTATACAACCATATGAATTTAGAAACAATTTAATAAAAAGAGGGCACTTTATATACACTTTCATTTATATAGTGTCACATTTATCTATTGGAAGGATGAGTGAAAAAATTAGGGTTTTCCAAAAGTTCAATCATTTTAAAATTTACTAAATGAAGATATAAAAGCTAACAATCTCGATCATAAACAAATAAGTAGTAATGAGTTCTAGCATAGACATAATGTAACTAAGGAGAGGATAAATTAAAATGCATTTCCAAAATGACTACGAATATTGATAGTAGACACTAAAGGAAAATCACTCATTTCCAGCAGACTTTTTCATCGTAAATCAATTAATTTCGAAAGAAATAGGGGCCGGGTTTCAGTGGATTTTCGACTGAAAAAAATCTGCCGAAAATTTAAAAAAAAAAAAGCAAAAAACTTCCCGCCTAGCCAACAACTTGCAAGCCTGCCGGCTCGCCAGCCTCTTGATTTCTACGTCCGATTGGAGGCCAAATCGCGCCAAAAAAAGAGAAATATCAAGCAATTATACCGAGAAATACCAAACAATAACGAAGAATACCATCATGTGAAGACCAAATACCGAGTTATACCGAGATATACCGAGCAAATACCGAGTTGTACCGAGTTTTTTTACTTTTTCACTCGGTATTAATCTTCACAAAGCCGTATTCCTCGTTATTATCAAATAATATCTAGCAATACCGAGCAAATACCGAATTTTTTGGCGGGATTTTGCCTCCGACCGGACGATGTTCCTCTACGTCCTTACAACGGACCTAATAAAAGTTCCCTTGATTGAGACTCAAACCTGCTCATCCAAGAGGATAATGCAATGCCTATCCACTTAGCCGTAAGCAAAGATTTATTCAAAATTTTAATATTTTATATTTATATTATAATTTATAGAATATTAAAATTCATAATTAATTAAAAATAAATCAAAATAATCAACTTCATATTACGGTCGAAATTAAAATTTTTACCATAAATTCCTACAAATTTAAGCATCGAATTTTCTGCCGGAAATAAGCATTTTTTCTATAATGAGAGGCAACATGATTTTTGTAGTTCTCTGAATCAATGCTAATTATGAAGATAAGGGATTAGGAGAACTTCTTTCAGAGTAAAATTAATCAACAAAACAAATATCAATACCAATAACTATCAAATGGCATCAACAACCATCAAAACTAAACATGTATGATAAATCCTACCTTCCATATTTATATTGTATTGTTAACAATCTAATTGAAGGCTTAGTGGAGAAAATTTGGAACAAATTAAATATTAACCTCATCAAACTTTTCACATGGCCAGAGACTAGAAATCAATGGAGAAGAGAGCAAAGGTACACCTTCAATTTTGAAATGACATAGGTGATCGATTTTATAGAGTAAGGCTTCATTTGGGACGGCTTTCTTATTGCTTCGTAAAGCAGTTTTTTAATACAAAAAATTTAATTTTTGTACTAGAATGCATCATTAAGAAGCAGTAAGAAAGCCATCTTAAACAAAACCTTAGGCTTCATTTGAGACAACTTTAGACCACTGTTTTTTTCCTACTTTTAAGATATTTTTTTTAACTATAAAGCAGAATTATGAAGCAATAAGAAAGTAGTCCCAAATGAAGCATAACTAAAATAAGTAACCATGATAGTCTCTATTTAGGATTAAGTTAAAAAGTTACGTACGGGACTACTCCTTACATAAGAGCTAAGGCTTCGAGATAAAAGAAAAACTTGCACTTAACAAAATCACATTAACACTTGGCTTAAAATATGAGTTTTATTAAAAAGAAAAAAAAATAAACATAATCAAATTAAGCAAATAGTCTCTATTTAGAAAATTCTCGATATCACATTATGAATTTCTATAAAATATCTAAAGATGAAAAATCAAGAAATTAGATTTCCCCTTCTAAATAATGCTCACAATAAGGCGAAATTATTACATGCGGTTACCGGGCGTTGTCCTAAGGCTAATCAGGACGCTTCACATCGCCAATTTATTATGTACTGCTATGTATCAGGTGATGTGACGCATCCCGATTAGCCTCTGGACGGTCCGATAACCACACGTAATAATTTCACCACATTAAGATTAAGAGAAGTTTTTATCTAGTACTAGGTCTTGAGATGATTACACCCACAAATTAGATGAAAACTCAGGCAAAATGTGAGACCCATTCAAAATAATGACATGTTCGATAAAAATACACAAATGATCAAGACTCTGTAAGATTTTGAAGCATCATTCAAATCTCTAAATTATTTTTTGACCTAATATATTTTGAAGCCATTACTCGCCTTTTTATTTAAGTTATCACTTTGATTTTTTTTTTTTAAGTTCTTAATTTGACTTTGTATCTACAAATTATTATTTGGTTTATTACCTTTTGAGTAACAATTCAGTTATTTAATTATCTTCGAAGAAAATGTCAAAAGTTAAAAAAAAAAATGCTCAGCCAAATTTGCCCTAAAAAGATCACAACTAAAAAAAATATTAAATCAAAATATATTTATATATAAAAAAATGAGAAGATGGACTATCAAATTTAGAAGCTAATTACTTTAAAATAAAGCACATTTAAATAGATAAAAAATTTTAAAAATTCCTAAAAATTATCCTCTGATATTATTTTATGTTTCTATTTAAATGCCATATTCTTTTAAATATTTTCTTTTAATTTTGATCATATATAAAGATTATCAAAAGTGTCCTTTTGCAAAGAGCCAAAAGTCAAAGATCATTGATTGGATTTAAAATTTCAGAGGATTATTTAAAAAACTATATCTTAAATTATGATGAAATATATAATAATAATAATAAATTATTATGTTAGAAAAATTAAATGAAAACTTTTGTTTTTTTCTTCCAGCAGATAGAATTAATGACTTGACAAAAACTCAGAATTTTTTTTTTTTCCTTTTTTTGTTGATTGATGCAAAATCTAATCAAAATATATTTGCAGAAAATATAATATCAAAGAAATCGAATATAATTAAAAATAATAATAATAATATTTTGTAATCCACTGTGTGTTCCCTTTCTTCGTCATGAGAATAGAAAACAATGAAGGCATTGAGAGCTTGAGATAGGGACTTGCTTCCTACCTGACTCTGCCCCTCGGCCCTACCAAAGAAAAAAAAACCCTAATTTATAACATCCCTTCATTCATTCTACTTAGGCATGAAGTGCTAGCTCCTCATTAGAAGAAAATAATAATCGGATTCAATTATAAGAATTATAGAAGTCGAGCGTCCACAAGTTAATAGTTGTAATTCAATAACAGTATTGGATATTAGCAGTCATGCTACAATTGTTGGACGACGGAAGTCAAGCGATGGTGGTCGTGATTGTGATGGTGATCGTTGGCAACGATAGTCAGAAAATACGATAGCGCGCTCTCTCAACTTTTGAACTCTGCCTTAATAGAAAATAAGATCCCATTTATAACTTTTTTGAACCAAATCGTTTTGATAAATTTGATCAGAATCCAAAATACTCTATTGAATGATCTTTAACAATCGGATTCAATTATTTATATTATTACAATTAATAATTTCTCCAACTATTGAGCTGAGTCCAAAATTTAGAAAACTTTTAGCTCTTTAAATAATAAATATTTACTAAATGGGTCAAGTTATATCTCAAAATTATTGATTTACTTTAAGGTGAGTAAGATATTAAAAAATATATTACGCACACCTTTAAAAAATATTTAAATTGAAGAACTCTTATTTATCAAAATTAAATCAAATGATCAAAATTTTCTCAAAATAATTTAAAAAAAATTATGTTAGGATATTATATCATAAATTAGATTATGATGAAATTGAAAACTATTAGATACAGTTATCTAAAAAAAAATTTAAAATCTAAAACGTATTTATATCAAAATTTAATGAAAATAGCAAATTTTTACTCAAAATTTTTCTCAAAAAATTATGTGAGAATATTTTAATACAAATTATATTATAATAAACTTAAAATTTTTAAATGAATTTTAAGATTAATATTATATAAATATAAATAAATAAATTATATTTTATTAATTTTAATCTATCCAATAAATTCCAAAATTCCATAATACCTCAATATAATTTTCTCTACTTTCTCATATAATACTCAAAACAACCAACTACTTCAAATATTATATGCCACACACATAGAATAATAGAGTTGAGAGAGAAAGAGAGGAGATAGAGAGATAAAGAGAGGAGATAGAGATAGAGAGAGAAAGAGATAGAGATAGAGAGAGAGAGCATCTTCCATTAAATTAATATACAGAACACCACCCTTAGCCCTTAGGGTAGCTAGGTCTTCATAGTTGTTGAGCTCTTATCTAACAGAAGAGCCTCTTCCCCTCCTCTTGTTAATCTCACCTTATTCTCTTCTCTGCTACTTCTCCAGAAATCTAGTTACAGGTTAGCGAAGCAAAGCTCTCTTCTTCCCCATATCTACTTCTTATCTTCTTCCTCCCTTTAATATTTCTTCTCCCTTTTTATTTTCCTTCCAAGATCCATCGAGCTTTAAAATCATCCAAAGCTGGCGAATAACCGTTGGTGGGCCGGCCAGCTAGGCCTCGCAGCTGGCCTCGGCGGTGGAATCAATGAACCGGCGTCCTCCGGCTCCTCCGGTCCTGGAAAACTCACCCAAGAAATGAACATCGGTCTAAAAGACCCCTCCGATCCAAGCCGCGCTACCGCGTCCGCCGACGACCAAGACGACGAGAGAATCGACAACGAAGACGAGCCCAAAGAAGGAGCCGTTGATATCGGCAACCGCAGGCCACGGGGCCGTCCTCCGGGCTCCAAAAACAAGCCCAAGCCCCCTATTTTCGTGACTCGTGACAGCCCCAACGCGCTCCGTAGCCACGTCATGGAAGTCGCCGGCGGTGCCGACGTCGCCGACTCTATCGCCCAGTTCTCCCGCCGCCGTCAACGCGGCGTCTGCGTGCTAAGCGGAGCCGGCGCCGTTGCTAACGTCACCTTACGTCAGCCCGCAGCCCCTGGCGCCGTCGTAGCTCTTCGCGGCCGGTTCGAGATTCTTTCCCTAACCGGAACGTTTTTGCCCGGCCCGGCTCCTCCTGGCTCCACCGGACTGACCGTTTATCTCGCGGGCGGGCAGGGGCAAGTGGTCGGGGGCAGCGTCGTGGGCCCTCTGGAAGCTGCTGGACCGGTTATGGTTGTCGCCGCCACTTTTTCAAACGCAACTTATGAAAGACTACCCTTGGAAGAAGAAGAAGAAGCAAATGAACCCGGCGGGCAGCTTTCCGGCAGGTCCCCTGCCGGACTCGGCAGCGGCGGAGGATTGCTAGACCAGTCAGGTATGCCTATATTTAACCTTCCGCCTAATCTGATGCCCAACGGTTCCGGCCAGCTAGTCGATGCCTTTGGACCATGGGCTCATGGCCGGCCGAATTTCTAAGATCGTTAAGAGAAGCAGAAGCAGAAGAAGATGAAGAAGAAGAAGATGAAGAAGAACGAACATGGAAGCTAAGAAGAGTGTTTGTATATGATTATTGATCGATTATGAAATCGAGGGGTGAGACAGTTCTAATTACTTTCTTTATGTTCTTAATTTGTTAGGAATAATGTGAAGGATTTGGAGTGCTTTGCAATTATATAAATATAAATCTACATAGCATGGTGGATGGCTGACATAGATGGAGTTACAGTTCTTTGTATCATATTGTTTGGAGTTTGTGATGAGTCATTTAGGAAGGAGAGATGAATAAATTTGATCATTTGGTGAAAGTTAGATTTATATGGACTTATGATGCTTTAATTCATGAAAGAAATGCATGTGTGATTATGTTGATGCAAGGCATGGAGGTGGATTCCAGGAGAAACTATTACGTGCAGAGTCCTGTCGCAAGCTACGTTCGGTCGCAAGCTGCGTCCGGGATCTCTCCGCATGTAATAATTTCTCGGATTAAGGAGGTAATGATTAGTTGTTTCTAAATGATTTTTTTTCTATTTTCTATAGGGAACTATGGCCTAATAACTCATGTGATTGTGTATTTAGTAGCTTGATAGTAATCTATTTTAAGACTTTTTTTATGATTTGAATGAGTTTATTCATTGGGAAGGGAAATAAAGGGAGAAATTAGTGTTCACTATATATAGACTTAGCCTTTCATGTTATCTAAGTTAGTAGCCTTTTATTGTGTTGTTCTTTGAACAATCTTCTTTTCCTTTTGATTGTTTAGGTCATAAAATAGATATAGTTTGTGAGTTTGAGTTGAATGATTAATTCAATCATAAAATTTACTTATTTTCTTAAGGTAATGCCTTCTGCACTTACTGTGTTTTAAGTGAATTTTTCTATAAAAAAGAAGCTTATACTGAAGAAAAACATGATATAGGAGTGGTTCAATATCCAATTTTTATGACAAATTTTGTTCAGAGAGAGTTTTGGAAGGAAAATGTACGTTATGTTATTAAGATTTAGATACATATAATAAAATTCTTATATATTTAATTTTTTTCTTAATGAGAATTGAGCATAGTGTACCATATATTGCTACAAAATATATTTATTTTTGGGAGTCTTCTGAGCATTTCTTATTTTCCCATAAGACTAGCTTTAAATAAATCTGTGCATGCATTAAAAAATCAATTGAGAATTGAGCATTTCGAGGCTTTGGTTTAAGATTCTAAACAACTCCAAAGCTGCTTATGTGCTTAGTTTGGTACTAATTAAATTATATATATAATATTGGAAATTATACTTAATTAGTCACTAATCACCACTGTATAAACTACTAAGTTAAAAGCCAGCAGAGGATAACCCAATAAACCAACGGGCTTAGCTGGATTGGTGGACGAGCATGGTTGGGAACCCCTCAACTCATCTTCGATTCCCCTCTCACTCAGCGCAACTCATTAAGTAGGAATAAAATAACTGCGGATTCTGCGCTTGAGGGGCTTGTTGCATGTAGGCTCGTCGATGGATTAGTTACACCGCCATGCATCTCCTATGGGGGAGCTATTATTTTGTGCGGACTCCGGATGGTCCCGTCCGGTTACACGCTCGGTCCCAAGAACAGTATATTTTTTAGGTAACGTGGCACATTTTTATTGGTCTCCGGACTCCGCACAAAATAATAAATCCCTATAAGGGGTGGCAGTGGGTAGATACTTCATTCCCAAAAAAAAATACAAAATCTCATTTGTCTGTAAAACTCGTACTCTTTATGGTTAATACCTTCTTCCAATGCTATCTATATTTGATTTGTCCATTACTTATCTCACTGAAAAAAAAGAAAAAGAAAAAAAAAAAACTCATCTTCAGCTTATCATTTACATGACACAAATAAGAGGACTGTATCATATATATATATATATATAATTTCACCAAATTTTCTATGAAAAAAATGATGTTCAATGTGTGTTTATCTAAGCGTTGCAGGAAGCACCTAATTTCTGCATATATTGATTTTCAGACGGGCAGATTTTTCCATATCTTATTTGTCATGAAAATCATGTCCCCTATTTTTATTCAAAATTATTTTCATGAATATTATGTCCACTCTCTCTCTCTCTCTCTCTCTCTATGTTCAGCAAAAAAAATATTAGTAGCTTAATAATTAAGTAGCCATAGGTAGAGAAGAGGGGAATGTAGGGACACATGCCTCTGTCCCCTCACCATGTAGTTTGAATATGTAAATTTGCAACTATACTTTTCATAAGAAGTTATTGTTAATTGAGATGTCCTGTCTAGATATATTTTACACAGTAACGCCCCTCTGAAAACTTAGCTCAGCTCCACCTTTGGAGCAGTGACTACACAAAAGTCTATTGGTTTCACAATATGAACCCACCATCTTCATAAATGAGGAAAAATTATTACGTGTGTTATTCGAATGTGCTTAGAAGTTAATTCAGATACATCACATCATTTAATATATAATATATTGAATAACGTGATGTGTTTGGATTGACTGCCGGACACGTTCTTACACCGCAAAGAATAATCTCTGGTAAATGAGAGCTTATATGTAACTTAATCAAATCTTGATAGCTACAATCAACAGTTTTTTAGACTAAAATTTAACATTACAGTGAAAGAATGCATGGCCTAATAGTTATTTGAGAAAGTTATGCTTTCAATCATGAATTCTATTCATATATTTTGATTTATGGCTCATCATTCTTCAAAAAAAAAAACAGGTAAATAGTCACTTTTTCCATAATTAAAGCTAATATGCAATGATTCATTGTTTTTTTACATATATTGGTTTGGAGGATTAAATCAAATGTAGTTCTTAAAAGAAAGTAAATACAATTATACATTCAAGCTATTAAAATAGGAAAAAATAGATATTAAAAATTAAATAAAAAAAGAAGATGAGTAGTTTCAAGCACCTATTATAACAAAAATCTCTCAAACATAGTATATGATTTGATATATTTTAAGACAATATAATTTTAGGTTTAGCTTGGGACAACTTTCTTAATTATTGCTTTCTAAAATAACTTTTTAGTACAAAAATTTTTAATCTAAGAAATTTTTAACTAAAAAGCTGTTTTAAAAATAATTAAAAAAAACTATCCCAAATAAAACCTTAATTTGGAGTTTTGCTTTACTTAGTGATCACTTTAGCTTTGATATCACTAATCATCCTCAAGTCCCCATTATAAACTCTATCTGGCATTCAAAGCTAATCAATTTGGATCTTCTTTGTCCATAGTTGCTCTTGCCATAAAAAATCTCACCATATTCAATGTAAAATTATTGTTTTTTATTTGAATGAGAAAATTATTATATTAGTCACTTTGTTTGAGTATATATAAATTGGAAAAGTTTAGCTTGAAAGGCTCTTTATGGATGGAATTTGTTTTTTTTTTGTCTATGTATTATTACTTAATTCACTAAAAGAAAAAAAGGGTTTACCGATGGATTTTTCATTAGAATTTATTGCAGAATTATTCCGTCAGAAATTTTGTTGATGGTTAAGTGTCCTGGAGAAATTTCGGGTGACTAGTATGTGAGAAATTTTACAAAAATGGGTTTTAGTAATTTTAAGTTATCATGCTCTCAAGTATAGAAATCTATGTTTCTGCGGATATTATGTTGATATTCCCTCATTTATTGGATTCTTTGTCGTTGTTGTTCTTCAGGATTAGTTATTGGAATGTTTAACGAGAAAACATCAAATTGATCATACTTATCTTCCCTTTGAATATAAGTTTGGTTAAAGCATTATTTAACATCATTCGTAACACTTTTTTGAACAAAAAAAAATTCCTTGAAGTTGGAAGTTAGCATTTATATCCTTAAAGTGGATGAATATATACCCTAAGAAGATGCATTTCATCCGTCCAAATTTATCATTGTTTATGAATGTGAACATATAAGACAATAAAATATTTTTGGATGAACACTCATCCATCCAAAAATATAAGTCAATAATCAAGACTCATTGATATTAAGAAATCAAATTTTATTTTATTTTCAATGTGAGGCTATCCTTTAGCCTTATGTGCAACTAAACAATCTCCCCTTCACATGAAATCGCTCTACATCGGCTATCAATCTTTCTAGAATGTGCAAAAGCATCCCATATGCTTATTATCAACCAACAAATTTATGTATTAATTTGGAGCAATTAAATTAATTTTTATAGGATTATTCATGTATAGGGTTTTCTAGATCACATGTTATTTGTATATATGAAATCAAAGGATTTGGATGTATAATTGATTGTTGCCTGAAAGGAAGACAGTAATAAATGAATTTATCAAAGGAGTTAATATTTTTCATCGAGGAGGCCGGCCAACTACCTTCTTCTTTTTTCCTGATGAGAGGTTTTGTTATATTTGTTCTAAGCATAAAAATCAAGCGTACTTTACGCTAGATGAGGTTACCATTAATTTATATCATAAATGATTAAAGCCACAATATTTGTTATGGACTTCATATAAAGAGTATGTGCAAGCCACATTTTAATTCTCAATGCGGTCCATCAACAAGTTTCAAAATAGTTTAGGAAGAAATGTTATGACGTACGAAGATATGATTTATGATGCAATCAACCCACAATTTAAAGAACATACGGAAGAGTCGCCAAATAGAGAAGTACAAGTCTTCTATGAATTAGTACTAGCATCTTAACAACAAATTTGGGATGGGTGCAACACTCACTCTGAGTTATTACTCGCTATTAGGGATACTGAGTATTAAAACTTAATGTAATGTTCCTCAAGTGTGTTTTAATCAAATTGTTGGGCTACTTTAAAAAACTAACCCTACATATAATATAAATGTAGTAGATTTATACAAAACTAAGAAGCTAGATTTCAGATTGTGTTTGATTACTACAAAAATAGATTACTATGTTAATGGCTGTATATTATATTATATGAATGATTTGTTATAGACAATATGTCGTCATTGCAATGTGCCATAATTTAAACCTAAATCTAAAAAATAATGAAAATAGAAGGATGTTCCACTTAATTACTTAATTATATTTACTTACCCATTATTCCAAGGCAGTTGTGTCTATATATATATATATATCAATAATTCAACCTCATGTTAACTGTTTTAAATTGAATGTTGATATTGCTCTGGATGGGAATAATTGGTGTATTGGTGGCTTAATTAGAAATTTTAATGGGGATTATGTTGTGGGTTTTACTGGCAAAACTGTGGAAACTGATATGCTCGGTGGTATCCTGTTGGCTGTCTTTCATGGGCTCTATCTTTGTGCT